GTTTTTTTTTTTTTCTTTGTTTTTTTTTTTTTTTTAAGTCGGTGGTTTACGCGACTGAGCCGACGACGACTTAAGCCTTAAAGGAGGAAATTGGACGTTGTATTAAAGAAATACCGCAGCATTTATGCAACGCGGTCATTGAAATTTTAAAAATTTATAATTTAAAAGTTCGCGTCTGTTCCACCAAAGTAACGGCGGCCATCTGCACATTTTCTTGTTCCATAAATAACCATTCTCCCGATTTTAGGATGTAATAAAAATTCACGATTTTTATACCCTCCACCTTGGAAAGGAGGGTATATTAACTTTGTCATTCCGTTTGTAACATCCTTAAATATTCGTATTTGACCCCATAAAGTATATATATTCATGATCCGCATAAAATTCTAAGTCGATTTAACGATGTCCGTCTGTCTGTCTGTCCGTCTGTCTGTCTGTTGAAATCACGATACAGCCCACATTATTTGACGTAGAGCGCCAAAATTTAGCAGAGCTATTTGCATTGTGTCTAGGATGGTTGGTATTGAAAATGAGATATATCGGTCCACGTTCTGGTATAGTCCCCATATAACGGTACCTCCCGATATTCGGTATTTTGATGATTTATGCCACATTTTTTCACGGATTTGTCTGGAAATTGGTATTTGGAAGTCATAACGGGTCCCTGAGCGTGTGGCAAAACATTGCATGTATAGGTCCACGTTGTGGTATAGCCCCCATATAAAGGTACCTCCCGATATTCGGTATTTTGATGATTTATGCCACATTTTTTCACGGATTTGTCTGGAAATTGGTATTTGTGGGTCATAATGGGTCCTAGTTCGTGTGGCGAAACATTGTAATAATAGGTCCACGTTTTGGTATAGCCCCCATATAACGGTACCTCGCGATATTCGGTAATTTGATGATTTTTGCCACATTTTTTCACGGATTTGTCTGAAAATTGGTATTTGTTGGTCATAAAGGGTTCCAGCTTCGGTGGCGAAACATTGCATGTATGGGTCCATGATTTGATATAGCCCCCATATAACGGTACCTCCCGATATTCGGCATTTTTATGGTTTTTGCCACATTTCTTCTAATGTTTCTTTTACCCTAAGGTGGAGGGTATTAAAAGTTTGGCCCGGCCGAACTTAATGTTTTTTACTTGTTTTATAATTTTTTTGTAAAAATCGCATTCTAGTTGGGACCTCCTTTAGTGGTACGTCTTATCATTTATATATGAAATGTTTTATTTACCTTTTCGTGCCCACGCGCCTAAAAGTATGCTGCTATTTTTATTTAATAGAGAAAGAAGGTGAGATGTCCCTTAACAATAGATGGCGTTCGCTAGAATTCAATTCCAAGAACATTGTTGAATCTTTTAAATCCTTCTAAGACGAATTCCTGGGAAATTTCTCTCCTACTCCAAGATCTGGGCCTTTGAGAATTTTCCAAGTGTAATAAATTCTACATATGCATACTTTTACACCTCGCCAAAGCGAAAAAAAATAACCACACCTATTAAGTGTCATCTATAGTTTCTTCTTCTTGGCTGCGCAGCTAAATAATTTGTTATTTAATCTTTTGTGTATTTGAATGGCCAGTCTGTCTGTCTGTCTGTCCGCCACCCGTCATTTTGGCTGGGTTTTTGTTTTATTTGTAACCTAAACCTTTACATTTGTTTGTTTTTTTATTCGTTCGCTGGCATTCACTTGTCGCAAAAATTCTTAACGATTTGTATACAAACGAAGAAGAGGAGGAAAAACTAACAATAACAAAAAAAAAAACAACAAGCGAAAACTATTTGAATCTGGAGGAGGAAGCGCTGAAGACAACAATGTGAACGACAAACAAATACCTCCAGCACGCTGCCAAATTGGAGGAAACCAGAAGCAAATAAGAATAAACAAGTAAAAAAGCTGTAAATTCGGCCGGGCCGAACTTTGAATACCCTCCACCATTTGGTACAAATTTGGTACAATTTTCAAAAAAAAAAAATCCGTTAAAAATTCTGTTAAAATCTTAAAAATACCGAATGTAGCCGTATAATAGGGTCTATACGACGACGTGGACCTGCATAGGCAACTTTTGTCACAAGCTATTACAATATTCAAATGCGAAACTTAAAAAAAAAATCTGTTTATAATGTAGCAAAAATCATCAAAATACGGAATATATGGAGGTACCATGGGGGTTATAAAACGTGGACCTACACAGACAATTTTCTGGCATAGGCTGAAGCATCCATTACGAACTCCAAATACCAAATTTGAAATAGTTCCGGCAAATAATGTCTCTAAAATCATCCAAATACCGAATATCGGGAGGTACCGTTATATGGGAGCTATACGATGACGTGGACCTGCACAGACAATTTTCTGTCATAGGCTGTAGTATCCATTACGAACTTCAAATGCCAAATTTCAAACAATTCCGGTAAATTATTTCGCTAAAATCGTCAAAATACCGAATATCGGGAGGTACCGTTATAAGGGGGCTATACGAAGACGTGGACCTGTACAGGCATATTTCTGTTATAGGGTGTAGTATCCATTACGAACTTAAAATGCCAAATTTTAAACAATTCCGGTAAATAATGTCGCTAAAATCATTAAAACACCGAGTATCAGGGGGTACCGTTATATGGGGGCTATACGAAGACGTGGACCTACATGGCCCATTTTCTGTCTTATGCTGTAGTATCTTGTACGAACTTTAAATGCCAAATTTCAAACTATTCCGGTGAATAATGTCGCTAAAATCATCAAAATATCGAATATCGAGATGTACCGTTATATGAAGCCTATACGAAGACGTGGACCTACATGGCCCATTTTCTGTCTTAAGTTGTAGTATCCATTACGAACTTCAATTGCCAAATATCAAACAATTCCGGTAAATAATGTCGCTAAAATTATCAAAATACCTAATATCGGGGGGTCCCGTTATATGGGAGCTATACAAAGACGTGGACCTACACAGACAATTTTCTGTCATAGGATGTAGTATCCATTACGAACTTCAAATGCCAAATTTCAAACAATTCCGGTGAATAATGTCGCTAAAATCATCAAAATACCGAATATCGGGGGGTTCCGTTATATGGGGCTACACGAAGACGTGGACCTACATGGCCCATTTTCTGTCTTATGCTGTAGTATCTATTACGAACTTCAAATGCCAAATTTCAAACAATTCCGGTGAATAATGTCGCTAAAATCATCAAAATACCGAATATCGGGGGGTTCCGTTATATGGGGCTATACGAAGACGTGGACCTACATGGCCCATTTTCTGTCTTATGCTGTAGTATCTATTACGAACTTCAAATGCCAAATTTCAAACAATTCCGGTGAATAATGTCGCTAAAATCATCAAAATACCGAATATCAGGGAGTACCGTTATGTGGGGGCTATACGAAGAGGTGGACCTACATGGTCCATTTTCTGTCTTATGCTGTAGTATCTTTTACGAACTTCAAATGCGAAATTTGAAAAAAATTCCGGTAAATAATGTCGCTAAAATCATCAAAATACCGAATATCGGGAGGTACCGTTATAAGGGTGCTATACGAAAACCTGGACCTACATGGCCGCTTTTTCTTTCATAGGCTGTAGTATCCATTACGAACTTCAAATATCAATTTTTAAACAATTCCGGTTTCAAAATCATCAAAATACCGAATATCGGTAGGTACCGTTTATGGGGGCTATACGAAGACGTGGACCTACATGGTCCATTTTCAATACCAAAAGTCTTGAAGACATAATACATATTTGAGTAGATTTTTATAAACTTACTTCATTTGGTTGGGAAGCTAGAGTGATTTCCACAGACGGACATTGCTAAATCGACATAGAATTCTATGCTGATCAAGAATATATAGACTTTGTGGGGTCTAAAATGTATATTTCGAGGTGTTACAAACGGAATGACAAACTTAATACACCCTCCATACTATGGTGGAGGGTATAAAAATATGCAAAATATGCCCAAAACAAAGGTAATTTAAACACTTAAATTCAATGTTCAGCTGGTCTTCACATTGAAAAAATGGAAAAAAAAAGAGGAAAAAATACAACAGCGAAATCAAACGGAATAGACACTCATTCAGTTAGACGCGGTATTCAGTCAGTCAGACACTCAGTTATTGCCTTGCTCTTGGTTTTCTGTCTATTTTTGTTGTTGTTTTTGTTGTCACTTTTTCATGTCTAAGTTAATTCAAAATTCTGTCTTGTGGGTTAAACCAGAACATTGAACAGAGACACTTGGAATAAATATCACCTACATTTAAATGAACCGCACACACAGGCACACACATATACATACACACACACAAACACATGTATATACATAGTGTATGTAAAATACTATTTTTGTACATAGAAACCAATCCGTTTGTCGTCATGTACCTCCATGATATATGTCTGTCGGCCTGTCTGTCCGTCTCTATGTGCGTACATATGTCTCAAAATAAATGGCCTGGAAACCCAGGTAAAAGATAAATGTCAGATCTGTGTTGACACTTTGCAATGGCAAAATATGCTTGGCTTTGCAAAACGAAAAGAAAAAACTGAAACTGAACTGAACTGAAACAAAAAAAAAACGCTGCATCAGAATTGAGCTAATGTCTCGACGTTCATGACTTGAGATTGGCACAAAAAAAGTGAGAAGTCATTTAAAAATGGAAATAGTTTCCAATTTGTGAGACAGATGAGATTGTCTCAGCCAATATCCCGCTGGGTTATTGTGACACGCTCTGAATGTTTCCTAGATGGCATGGAAGTGGAGGAAAAATATGAAGTGTTTGTGAAAATAAAGGCATAAAGCAGACAATTTTGGAAGAAAAGTTCAAATCAGACCAACTCCTGGATGCCAAAAGAAAATTAATATTAAAGAACGCCATCTATATTTGAAATTGTAATATCTTTAAATAGCCCCATGATGTTTGATCTTTATCGAATTTAACTTTCCGTTTGTAACCTCTCAATTTTCGTCTGTCTATCTGTTGAGTTTAACAGCCTGTTCCACGATGTCGAAAGAACACGTTCGCACAACTTTTACACGACAAACAGCTGATTTCCGTTCCACTAAAATCCATCAGAACGAAAATTTGCACGAAAATCAAAGCGAACGAAAACGTAAGCGTTTCAGTGTAATTTTGCGTTCCACTATCTTTTTTCTTTCGTACGCATGCGAACACAAATGTCAAAATCAGTCACTTGTGTGTTTGCTGTCGAATGATAAAAATTAAGGAAAATTGTTTTAACATAAACATTCCTTGATTGAAAATGGAAAGAAAAATGTAAGTAAAAATAATAAATGCAATTTAATCTGTGAACAACAAATATACATTTTTTTATTTTCTCAATTCCAGCACGAAAAAACTACACAGCTGCGGGCACTAGTTGAGTATATGGGGGAGAATCCTAAGTTCGGCAGAGGAGTGCCAATTTTTGGAAGCAGCAGGCAATCCCATGAAGACCACTGGAAGACACAAACCTAGAAAAAATCATTTTTTTATTATTTCAAAAATGTAAAAATACAATCATACTTACTGGTTGTTAGGTACTTCAAATAAATTCGAAGCATCTCTTAAATGCCTCCGTGGCACAATTTGAACCTCCTCCTCATCATCCATAAAAAATAGGGCTACAGAAATATACATTTTTTTCTTTTTTAAGAACACAAATAATCTGAACACAATCACTAGAAATTTTATTTTGTTTGTTTATTTACAATTTGTTTGTTTACAACTGAACTGTCAGTTGAGACAGAGCCACTGCTGCTTTTTCGCGTTTAAATTAGACATTTGGCGCTTTTTTTGCCTTATTTCGCGATTAATTTTGCCAAAAAATATTTTGCAACACTGAATCACGTAAGGCTATGCGAAAGAAAGAACGAAAGTTAGTGGAACGCATTCTTATGCGAAAGTGAGTGAGTAGCCTTCGTTCGCACAAATTTTCTTTCGAGATCGTGGAACAGGCTGTAAGTCTGTCTATCTGTTGAGATCCATACAGCCCAAATTATTTATAACAGAGCTTTGAAATTTGACACAATATTGTGTCAAGGATGTTTGATATCGAAAACAAGTTAAACCAGTCGGTATTGCCGGCAGCTTCATACATTGAGCCAATGTTCGGTTATTTAAATATATTTTGACTTGCGTTATGATTTTTCAAACTGTTTACCCTTCATAGGAAAGTTTCCGAAAGAGTGGGCCATTATTTTAAATTTCCTATCTGACATAAGTCTGATGAAAATATTAATAATAAAACGTATCACATTTGGATATTATATCGACTACTTCCTTCACTTTATATCAGACATTTGATAATTTTTCGAAAAGTTTGAGTTCTATGAGAGTTATAATTATTTAAAAGGTTGACCCGTTCGGGGGGAGGTACCAGAAGGAGTAGTCCGATATTGTCCATCTTCACAACAGGTCCTGTGTTGAAAGAAGTATTGGAATGTGTCGAATTTGAAAGTAATTGGATGCTCATTTCAAATTTTGACCCGTTGTGTGGTAGGTACTAGAAGAAATGGTCCGGTCAATCAGACCTTGTGTTGGTAGAAATTTTCACGTTTGCGAAACTTGAGGATAATCTAGTATTGGGATAAGAGGAAATTTGAATTTGCGTTTCACGACCTTCGTGGTCATACAAAATTTTGACTAATTGTGGGAGAGGTACCAAAAGGAGTAGTCCGTTATATCCCATCTTCACAGCAGATCTTTTGTTAACAAAAATATTGGAATGTGTGAAATTTGAAGACAATCGGACTCTTATTTTGCATTTTATAAGAATTATAATTATTCCAAATTTAGACCCTTTGTGGGGGAGGTGCTTGGTAGAGTGGCATCTGACTTAGCGCTGCAAAAATATGGGTATGTGCAAAGTTTGCACAAAATGGAATAATACTCTTTCTATGAAGTAAATTATTTTCTTTAAACAAATATCGACCATTTGTGGGGGAGGTACCTGAAAGAGTGGACCAAGTTTGCTCAAAATCGGATACTCCCTTCGATAGGACGGACGGACATCTCTAGATCGACTCCAAATATCCTGAAACGGATTTGGTCCAAGAGACCTAGGGTCTAAAATCATTATTTCTATGAGGCACGTTTTGGCCATATCCATATGGCTGAGGGTAAAATGAGTTATATCACTCCACGTTTTCCTATCGCGCCTATATAATCGGGTATCTCACGATATTCGGAATTTCGATTAGTTTAGTCACATATTTCTAGGGAAATATTTCAAATTAGGTATGAAGAGCTTGTAATGGGTCCTACCTCTGGTGGCAGAACCTTAGGCCATATAGCGGTACCCACCGATCTCTGGTATTTTGATTATCCTAGTCACCTTTTTCTATTAAAATGGAATATGTCGTCGGTCCACTCATTCTGGTACTTCGACATCGACATTTTCAATCGACATTTTCAATATCCATGAAGCTCATAAAACATGAAACTAACATCCGGTTTCATTCAGCCCTGGCACCTCTCAATATTTCTATCAAGATCTCTTACAAAAATGGTAGAGATCAGGACATTTCTTCTGGTACCTCCCCACTAAGGGTTAAAGTTTTGAAAAACCAAAACGATTTTAAATTCGAAATAAGCATCCGATTGTCTTCGTATTTCACACATCCCATTATTTCAATTAATACAAGATCTGCTGTGAAGATGAAATATAGCGGTACACTCCTACTGGTACCTCCTACCTCTATAAAGCCATTCAGACTTGGTAGATCTCAATATTTCCACTAACACAAGATCTGTTTTAAAGATGTTAGAGACCGGAGCATTCCGTTCGGTACCTGCCCCACCTAGGGTTCAAGATTTTGAAAAACAAACCCCTCAAAGAAAGCCAAATAAGCATGCGACTCTCTTCAAATTTCATACATATAAACATTTTTCCTAACGCAGAATCTGTTGTGAAGATGATATTTATCTGTGAACCCCTTCTGGTGCCTCACCCATAAAGGGACAAAATTATCAGTACTTATATCTGTCGGTAATAGGGAAACATTTCAGCGCTTTTTTAAAAAAAAAAATATGCATCTAAATATTTCTTTCAACCAGAGACCTGAGATGAATATGGGATTTATGATTTCGCATAAAATATGGATATAAATATTCGATTTTCTTGTAATTTTGCCCATACCAATATTTGTATCTGTATTAGATGAAGTATGAAAATGGTCAATTATATCTGGTACCTCACGCACATTTTAACATTTTCTAAAAATAATCACATATCTCATACTAAAAGTGAAGAAAGAAGTCGATATAGCTCAAACCTGACGCGTCGTAATATTTATATCATATTTATTTAGGCCATATCCGACCTGAACAATATTGGGCCATTCCTTCGGAACCTACTCCATAGAGGTCTTTTTCAATAATTCTAACACAAGTCATAATATATTTAAATATTCGAACATTGGCTGGGGGCATACATGTGTCGGCTAAAGCGACTGATACCTTTTAACTTGTTTTTAGAGTTTTTAAGACCATTTTGTCCTACAAGGTATTGGCGCCATCTACATGTCAAATTTTTAACAAATAAATGTTCTCTTTTTGCGTGTGGAATTAATTAAGAATAATTTTGTTAAGGTTACTTTTTTATTCCAAATAACATATTTTTCAATTATTTTTTTCGAAACACTGTGCCGTAGCGTAACAGGTATTCTTTTTTTATATTTTGTGGGTAATTAATTAACTTTTTGTATTTTGAGATTTTTTTTATTTATGTTTTTTTTTTGTTATTTTTATTGCCTCCAAGCTTATTTTTATTTTCTACTATCTCTTGGGATCATTCATTGGTGGTGGTAACAGCCTTTCGTGGTGGTAGTAGTAGTTTCAGAATTATTGTTTATTTATTTGAATAGATTTTTTTTAGCTTCGTACCTCAATTCATTGAACACAAAAATAATAACAACAACAACACCTATAACGTATCTACAACTCAAGCCGCTGCTGCTACTACTACTCCTCGAAAGACCTTTATCATTAGAAATGTTTATTTTATTACTTTTTACAAATAAGAAAAAAAATAGGCGGGGAATAGAGGTTATTGAGGCTTCTCTAAACACAGAAAAAAAATGAAAATACAAAAAAAAAACAACAACACAACAAAAATAAAAAAACTAATAACTTTTTTCAATTATCAATAAATCACAGAGGGTGGGGGGTAGGGTTGTTTCAGAGAAAAAATCAATAACTAATTAACTACCGCTTCAAAAAAAATGTTGTAGTTGAAGTTCGAGTAGCTCTCGTTTAGGCTGTTGACAACGGCACATTCCTTTGAAAGTGCCGTGAATCATAGAGGGCTTTTTGTTGTTGAAATAGCAAAGGCCATTCATCACCATCTCACCATAGCCATCTCAATGTCTCATAGCTCCTCTCATTGGGTCTGGGGTCTTAATCACTTTCTAAGAATGCGACAGCGAGCGACTGTAATCACCTAGGGTTATCTTTATTGCCCCTCCTTGCCAGCTCCGCCGCTATGACACGTCTATTTGCTGTCTCGTATTGACACAAGTGTGAAGAAAAGTTAAACAAATCATAGCCCGCTCACTGATAAGGCGGAAGTGGCAATAAAACTTAAATTTGTGTCTAAATCCTTTAATAAATAAATTATATTTTTGGAAAGCGTTTTTATGGCCATTAAGGCCAATAAAACTAATTATTTGTTTTAAGATTAATTTTTAAAGAATAATTTAATTTTAATTCAGTTTCAAAGAGGAATAGATGATTTAAATGAAAACCTGAATAATTGGGCGCCACTAATATTTGATTAGTGAATCTGTACTTCGTATTTGTTTTAAGTTTTAATTTTTAAGGACTTATTTAATTTTAATTAATGCAAAAATAGTTTAGAAGACGATTGGGTAATTTTAATGAAATTTTGAATGATTGGGCGCCACTAACGTTTGGTTAGGGAATCTTTACTTCGTATTTGTTTTAAGATTTATTTGTTTAAGACTCATTTCATTTTATCTCATGCGACAAAAATTTGAAAGAGTAATAAGTGATTTTAATAAAAACCTGAATGATTGGGCGCCACTAATGTTTGATAGGTGAATCCGTACTTCATACTGGAAAAGGTGTAAAACTCTATATGAAGGTGTTTTAAAATTAGCTGCCATTGAATATATTATTTAAATTTTACATAGAACCGAATGAAGTTTACAAAACCTCTGAATGCAAGGAGGCTATGAAAAATATATTGTATTATAAGTAATAAAAACCGCCATCTATACTTAAATTGTATCAAGTGTTTAATAAATAACTGCAATTGTTTATTTGACATTCTTTTATAGAAAAAAACCCTTTAAGGAAGGACCTAACATACAAATGTGTGTTTTTTAAGTGACGAACTTTCTTTTCCTATTTCAGTGGACAGTTTTCAAAATTACTAATTAATCAAGCATAGATGGCGTTCTACATTGAAAACAATATCTGTAATGCTTTTGAAAGACTTATGGGTCATAGAATGACATATTTACAATTGAAAAACTAGAGCAGATTTTTAAGATTCAAAATCGAAGCTCGACTACTTTTAGATAGCAATCTGCTGTCATGAGGTCCTTAAAAACTTCTCACAAAAAAAATCCACGATTTTTGGTCAGGAGGTCAGTGACAAAATATTCATATAAATCCACTATTCCTTGATTTTTTTTTTTTTTTTTTTTTTTTG